GCCCTGTGTGGGAATTCATTGTAACTGTAAAATATTGTTAACTAAAATGCCCTATTCTCAAAAACTTCAATAAAACTAAAAATGTGCTCAATTTCTTATATGCCTAAGATAAAATTGCACATACAATAAATATAAATATAATTAAGGAGCTTTGGTTTTTTTAAGACAAAAGCCTGTGTCTCCTTAACAAGTAAAACAGCATCAATTACTAAATGCTTCCTATTTTTCATTTGTCCAAATAACTATTGGGAGGTTCAAACAAAATCTATAGAGATTATATAATGAAGCTGATAAAAGCTGCAGAATGAATTCAGTAACACAATGAACACTGAAAAAGAGACTACAGAGTTGTAGAGATTATGAACGTATTCTCATCTGTATACACTATGGAAGACACTCTCCTTGCTCACAAATTTTTAAATGTATGCAATCCCAATTTCTAATACATGAAAACATATTAGTTTCTACATTCTAGAAACTAAAATCAACATATGTGGAAAAAAAGCAAGTTCCACTCAATACACTTTAAAAAGTTACTTCTCGACGATTGTTTTATTATCCTAATCAACTGTAAGTAAAGCAATAAACATCAAAGAATATTTGTCCCTTCAGGAAGCTGTTTTGAGATCACCCGTGTATCAAAAGGGTGAATTTGAACAAAGTGCATTATCACCTTACCTTTGTAAATACTATAGAAAAGTACTTTCCATTCTAAAAAAACGTCACTGACAATGGATGTCCCACGGGAAACCAGTGTTATCTGGACATATAACTTAAGAGTAAGCAAAGAGGACTAAGGATCAAAATAGTTCACCGCCTCTTAGAAAGTTACGGTAACAAAGATCAAAGAACTGAGACACAATGAGACCCAAAATTCATACTCTAGTACCATGTCATAAGACTGATAACATACAAATCAATAGAGATTAGGTGGACCAGATCAAAGCAATTCTTTGACAGTCTGCCAACACAAAGAGCTGAGCTTCTGAGACCCAGCTCACCTCCTCTGTGACGCCTTATCCCAATCTCCTCACCCATGTTCCTGGAGGCACTCTCATTACAGTGCCTATCTTGTGATTTTAGAGGTGTCTCTGTTGCACTTCTATTGGAATCCCCATGAGTCCCATTATTTGTCGATCTCAGTAATTCCTGGAGTTTTCCATGCTGACCCCCAAACACAAGGTGATCAATACACTAACACTAGGTGGAATGAGTGAATGGGCAGGACAAAGGGACACATCAAAGAGGGGAAACAGGGAGAGATGGGAGCAACATCGGCACATGGAATTTCAAAAACGTCACATCAGTTAAGACACCATCTTAATTTTGGCAAACAAATCATGATGAGATGTGGGTACATTTTCCCAAAGACTGGTTCATTTTGCCATATACTGTAGGTTCTCGGATCTGTTTATGATTTCAAAGAAGTGATGTGCATTCAGAACACACACTCGTCTTTCCACACACAGGTAATAGGCAAACCTATACGAAAGTCACCAGAGCTTAGGACGCTGGTGCGTTTTTGTTGTTGTTGTTGTTGTTGTTGTTGTTGTTGTTAAGGTCTTGAAAAAAGTGAGGCTTGATGTTGTGGGGCAAAGTAAGGAAATGCCTTGGAAACTAAGCCAAGGGGGGAAAGAAACCCCAACAAACTAAGCTGAGGAATCTGGATGGTAATTCTAACATGTCTCCTTAATGACATGGAAGCAGACAAATGAATCGTAAGAGCAGCACTTCACCCTATAAACTCAAGCAGTGTTGAGGAAAGATTCCAGAAGAACTGGGGACAGTAATACAGCTCTTCAGACAAAGTAACAAGATCCTTAAGGAAATCCAGTATTTCATTCTTTACGAATTTTTTTAAGAGGAGCTAAGATTCTCCAGAAAGGAAGACAGTCTGGTTAACAATATTCTTAAACACCTTTTTAAGCTACAAATATTTTTTTTTTTTTTAGCAAGAAGCGCAAAATGTATTGTTGAGCACACAAGTGTAATACATCGCAGAAATCAATAACACATCTGAAAGGCAAATACATTTCTCCTCATAAAGGTTTAAGACACCATTCCCTAATTAAATAAGCTACGAGTATCTTTACAACATCATTTCTCTCTTTTATAAAGAAGCTACGTTTAAAACTGGAAGATGCCACAATATTAATACCGTATAAAGCAGAGAAGAACTGTATAATCCAAAAGGACAAAAACTAACTCCACATGGCAGGAGATGGCTGTCTGAGGTTTGTCATGGTGTAAAACGGGAGCAGTTGGAGGGGGCATCTAATATTGAATGGAAATATGATTGCCCAAATTAACTCAGGTCCTTTCAAATTTCCAATCAAAAAGAAGAAAAATACTGGACAGACTGGAGCCCAGCCTCTTCCCCTACACTCAGAATCAGTGGGAAGGTGGAGAAGGAAGCTGAGAAGCCTCCAGAGACCTCCAGATGATTTCTCAGTCCATCTTTGGCCTTCCCTACCTGTGGCAAATAGGCAGCTGTCCTCTTTCCAGTCTGTTCTGTGTGCTTGGTTTGTAATTTTACTTTTAAAAGAATGAACTTTGAAGATTATTATTCTACTTGAGTATCCATAGTGACTCCTTACTGTCCTATTCTTTAAATTCCTGTTCCTGGTTTCAGTGCTCTCCGGAATCTGGCCTCGCTCTGATAGCCTCGCCTATGTCCGGATTCCACCAACGGCTCAAACTGACATCTCCGTTCTGTAAACTCCTATTTAAATCAGGAATCCATGCCACAGGGCTTAACATTTAATCATTATACAAAGACTCTTTTTCCACTGGAGTGCAGGAGTAATATGACTAGCTTCATTTTTATTTCCCTCAGTGCCTAGAGATGCAAAGTAGAAATTCAATAATCCCTTTTTTTTTTTTTTGGTTTTATTTATTTATTCATGAGAGACACAGAGGGAGAGGAAGAGACACAGGCAGAGGGAGAAGCAGTCTCCCTGCAGGGAGCCCGATGTGGGACTCGATCCCGGGACCCCGGGATCACACCCTGGGCCAAAGGCAGGCAGGCGATCAATCGCTGAGCCACCCAGGCATCCTAATAAACACATTTAAAAAATGGATCAGAGTTCTTTTCTAATGGAATAATCCTTCCAAGTGTCATCTGCTTCATAAACATTAATATCTGCATTCTATATTTATTTAAGATTTTATTTTTATTTATTTATTCATGAGACACACAGAGAGAGAGGCAGAGACACCGGCAGAGGGAGAAGCAGGCTCCTCGAAGGGAACTGGATGTGGGACTCAATCCTGGGAACAGGATCACGCCCTGCACCCAAGGCAGATGCTCGACCGCTGAGCCATCCAGGCACCCCATATTATATTTTATTAAACTGTCAGTGTCATATTAAAAGAGAGAAGACTGCTACTCTTCTAGGCTACCAGTGAAAAAAGTCAACCTGCCCAACTATGGGAAGTAACTTGCTATTAACTTGCAGAACCAATCATGTGCATCCCCTGTGGCTCATCATTTCCATTCTTAGGCCCAGACAAAAGCAAAATGCTTACATGTGTGTACCAAGAAAAACAGATTAAGACTAGCACAGAAGTACTGCTTCCAACAGTAAACAACTTATAAACAATCCACATGGCAAGTATCACGTAACAAGAGCAACTGAATATGATACAGCAAGTGAAAAGGATAATGTACAGCCACATGCACCAACATGTGACAACACTGATAAAAAGCCCAAAAATACAAAGCAAACAATAAATTCATTTAGAAATATATACAGATGTAGGGAAAACTATCACAAAAAGCAAAGGAATGTTAAACACAGAATGCCAGACATGGTTACCTCTGAGGGAAGGTAGTGGCCAGATACAGCTCAAAATTTTTTCTAATTTTTTTTTCTTAAGCCAGGTTGCAGATATGAGGGCATTTCTATTATTTTTCATATCGTATATGCCACATTAACATCCTTTATAAACACTTATTGTTTCCTCAAAAAAGGTAAGTGAAAGTTGTTCATCTCTGTGATGGCCTTTTGCAAGCACATCGATCCTCTAAGGAGTTACAAAAAGAAAATTGAGAAAACTCTGATCTCACAGGTCACTTCAGAGAAAAGATGTGAGGGCTGCAGAGTAAAATAGGAAAGTCTGTGGGCAGACGTGAACAATAACTACCTTATCTGAAAAATGGGAAGCAAAACTTTATGATGTTAAACAGACTCAGACAGAAAGACAAGTACTTTCTAGACCAGAGGGCAAGTGAAATTAGACTTCCTAGACTTGTTAGAGCAAACGAAACTTTGAGGGCTCTGGTAAGTCCACGCGGGGTAGCTCAGTGGCACTGGTACATAGGGTTAGGGGAGGACTGTGGAAGAGGATCTGGAACAAGATAAATGAATCTGAGTGGGGGGGGGGGGGAAGCCAGGACTGGAGAGCAAAGCTGATTCTAGAATGATACAAGTACAAGATGGAAATTACAAACAGGTCATTGATCCTCTAACTTAATGAATCTTCTTCATTCTTTTTTAAATCTTCCAATAAATAAAGTTAACTTCATTTTTCCTTCATTTATCGCCAGTGTGGTTCTCCACATTAATTTAATACCCCAGCTTAACCCTGACTGCCACTCGCTAACTTTACACAATACATTTTGTAAAATCTATTTTCCTATTGTGAGGCCTATGGCTGCAGCTGAGAGTTACACGTGCAGTCAGGAGCAACTGGTGAGAACTCAAATCCGCCTCTTAAAATCTAGGGTTGTAAAAGCTTTTCTAGGAGCATTTCAGTTATTACTGAATCTAGGTGAACAAAACCAGCTAAATTTTTAAAGCCCAGAAGTAATATTAAAATTAAAAATTAATTTCCACTGTGTACTACACTCAGTTTAAGCTTTTAAAGTATAATTTTTATTCCTTTCTAGCATTCTCACCTTAAGACTGTCATTACCCAGTCATTCAGACATACTCCCTTCTATTTATTATTCATATAGTATAATTTTACATTGATTTACATAATTAAAATCATCTTACCTGCACTTTTTTTAAAGCTACTGGTACTCCATCCAAGAGACAGGCTGCTCTATAAACTTCACTAAATTGCCCGCGACCGATTTTCTTTTCTATTCGAAAGTTGGCCAACGTATTATAGCCCATATCCGGTCGTAAGGCCTT